CGAGTGAGATTGTAAAGAGATGAGAAAGGGCGGGGACGGTAATATATGAATTGCGGGACGGAGGCTTCTATCACACGCACGTGACGTGACACGTGTTCCGCATGTGATTGCATGTGGAAGGTCACATGTTAATTTAATAATGTTTTTCTTTTATCCGTTTAGATTTTTCATTTAATTTAATATAAAATTTAACTTTCAATCCTAAACACAAAATGTTTAATAAAATATGAGGAATTTTTATGAAATTCTTTAAATAATGAAACAATGAGAGAAACGTCATTGTCTCATGTTGTTGTATCTCTCTTATCATATACAAGTTATTTTCCTTTTATTTTTATTTTTATTTTTATACAAGTAATTTCCCATAACAACCCTAATAATTTCCAAATTTTTTTATATGATGCAAACATCATAGTTAGGTAAGGTAAGGTAGTAATAATTTTATTTTATTCTTGTGATTCATGCCAATTTTGCCTTTTGACATATTATTGTTTTATACTTTTAATATTGAATACATATTTACTGATTAATATTTTAATAGAATATTTTCATGTTATAGTTGGTGAAATCTAAACGGCTAATATTATAAAAACTATAAACAAATATGCGGAGGTGTTTAGCTTTATTAATTTGAGGTCTTGAGTTCGAATTATCTCTTTATAATACATTGAGATTTCAAATTTGAATATTTATCTTTCGTTGTTGTAAATAAATTTTATTTTATAATATAAAATAAATAAAATTGAATTTTTTTTCTTAAATAATTAATACTAGCATTTTCACACGCGCTTTTGTAACGTAAGAGGTGTTTTCTAGTACCAACGCTTTATAGTTTGAACAAATTAAATCCGATAAACTGTTAAGCCAGCCTTATATTTCCATTATTAGCCCTTTTAATCTTTTACCCGAACCGAATGAATGAACGATGTGGCGAAAATAGAAATAAGCGGAAACGCAGGGGGGGAGATGACGTAGAAGGAAATCAAAATCATCAAAAATCTCCCTGTCAAATTAGGCGGCCGGTAAGAACGAATAGACGACATAGCGTCTGACTTGCAATAGAGAAAAATTATATATAAAAAGAAACGCCAACAAACCACCAACCCCAACCTTACTTCCCACTTAGAATTCAAAGCACTTTTGACTTCTCTTTACTATCTTTTCCTTCTACTTGTTTTTCACAGCATCGCAATCTTAATTTGCTGCGCATTCGATCTGCTCTGCTTGATCAGGTTCGTAATTTTTGCTTTCTTAGTTGATATGCTCACTCAGTTTTGATCGCTTGTCGATATCTTAGACCAAGTTTTTCAATTTTGATATGTGTTAATATGCCTCTCAAGCTTCTATTTTGTTCTGTTTTTTCAATTTCGAATTCCATTTTCTATACTGAAACGAGCAATTTGGTTTTGAATAGTTCTTTGTTGTGAAATTTTGATATATAAATTTTTGAATTCATATTTTGGGTGCCTACAAAACCGAGGAAAGCAAATTACTTTGATTATAATTAGTGGGTTGCGAGAAAGGAGCTCAATCTCCAATGCTTTATCACTGCAAAAAATTGCCACATTGACTTTGGTTGATTTGCATGTAGATCACGAGCTGCCTCTGATCAAACTACGGTTTAGCTCTGTGGAATAGCTTTGAGCTGCTTGTACAGCTTAGAAAATGGGATCGGGATCATGGCACATGGAGAAAAGACATAGTTTTAAAAATGAGCCGGTGAAAGACGTTGAGCATGTGCTTGAAAATGGGTCTCTCTCTATCATCGTGCTTGGCGCTTCTGGTGATCTTGCCAAGAAGAAGACTTTTCCAGCACTCTTCAACCTTTTTCAGCAGGTTTCTATTGAACTTCGTTTATTGCCATACTTAATTAATATGATTGATGATGAACATATATGAATCGCAACAAACCCCTAACACTCTTTGGTTACTAGTTGTCCTTAAAGTTTGATAAAAAGTTCCTTAGTGCTTATTAAGGATTGCGTAGAATATGCTGTCGAACCATGCACTGTGAATCTGTGATAGTGACTTTGTTTTTGGGTGTGCCGTTCTCTAGGGATTTCTGCAACCAAATGAAGTTCACATTTTTGGCTATGCAAGAACTAAGATTTCAGATGATGAGCTAAGAAACCGCATACGTGGGTGAGCTTTCTTGCCTACGATTTTCCCCGCAAGTCCATTTCCATTTATATGAGTGTAAATGGTTAAGTTTCCTACTACAGTCCGTAACTTCACACTTCTTTTTGCTCACTTTCACCAATGTTAGGTTCATTTTCTTTTACTGCTGTATAATGAGAGGTATTTGATGGTTGATAATGACTGCAGATATCTTGTCCGGGACAAAGGAGCTTCACCAAAAGACTTGGAAGATGTAACCAAGTTTTTGCAACTGGTTAGTGCCTTGTGCAACATTTTTTGATAATTCCATCCATATAATATCAATCCTGTACAGATATTCAGTTTCTTGATAGTTTTTCCTTATAGATCAAATATGTAAGTGGTTCTTACGACACTGAGGAGGGGTTTCGGCTGCTTGATAAAGAAATTTCAGAGACTGAAGTCTTAAGAAATGGTGTGGACGGATTATCCCGCAGGCTTTTTTATCTTGCACTTCCTCCATCAGTATATCCTTCTGTCTGCAGGATGATCAGGCATTGTTGCATGAATAAAAGTAAGCTTTTTTCCAATACTATTTAGGTTTCAAACATGCTGTATTTACATGGATAGCTTCAATTAGCTTTTCTTTTTATACCCGATTCAAGCAATCATACATGTTGGCATTAAAGGGTTCCAGAATGAAATTAAATGACAGGTTAGTGTTAACCTTTACAAATGTCTGCTTATAATCATTTCAGCTGATCTTGGTGGATGGACTCGTATTGTTGTTGAGAAGCCTTTCGGCAAGGATTTGGAATCTGCAGAGCAACTCAGTACCCAGATTGGGGAGTTGTTCGAAGAATCACAAATTTACCGTATTGATCACTATTTGGGGAAGGAATTGGTGCAGAATCTGGTATTATTATAATATCTGCATAGACTTGCTTAGACGTTGCGGGATATTAATATTAATGAAATCGGCTTATACTTTATTCGTATGTAAATTTGCAGTTAGTACTTCGGTTTGCAAATCGATTTTTTTTGCCCCTCTGGAACCGAGACAACATTGAAAATGTACAGGTGAGAATCCTTCCTTCAGTGCTGATGTTTGGGTGTCAGTATAACAGTGACAATGTATAGAGTACAGGTGGTACCTCCAGACATTTAGGATGCAGTAAATTTCATCCCCTCTTTTAATTTTTTAATTCTGTTTATTTGGCAGATTGTGTTTAGGGAGGATTTTGGAACTGAAGGTCGAGGTGGATATTTTGATGAATATGGGTATGCTTCACAGTGCTATTGTGCCAATTTGTTCCTTAAGCAGTACTGAAAAAGAATGATTTCATCCTCTATAAATGTTATGTATTGTTAAATTATCTTGAGTTTTAGTAATCTTTGTTACTAGCATCCATATTTCCTGCTGTCTATGGGGAAAAAAGTTTATGTTGTTAATGTATCTGGTTTTTATTTGTGAAATATAATTAGGATGCACTAACTAATCCGTTTTCTTTCTCATGCAGAATTATCCGTGATATTATTCAAAATCATCTATTGCAGGTAAGACCTTGGTATTAAGTTCGAGGTATATTTGATGTTATTAGCAATTCCATCTATACAATATTATTTATATCTTTATTTTCGAGGAATCAATAGTTTCAAATAACTCTGAATATCAATTAGTTTACTTGTTTAAGAGTTGTAATTTTCTTGAGATCTAAGAACTAAGAATGTATGCGAACTCTTGTGATGAGAACTTATATAAAATTGGTATACCTTATGTATTGTGGCCCCATCTCCAAATTGTCTACAAATTTTATGCATCAGAATTTCTTCCAACCTTCTCTCCCAAGGAACCATCATACCAGGAAAAAAGGCATTTAAATTTTCACCTGATTTATTTATACCTAATTTTCTCTGCAGGTTCTTTGCTTAGTTGCCATGGAAAAGCCTATTTCCCTAAAACCTGAGCATATCAGGGACGAGAAAGTGAAGGTATGCACATCTCAATTCATTTATGATGAAATACTTTCTATATGATAAGGCATCATACAATTTTATTAACAGGTTTGCAGAAGAAACAAAAAATAAAAACAATTTGACGTGTCCCCGTATATGACCTATAATGTTCTTTCATAATATGTGCTCTTAGTTCCCAAATTCCTTTTTGTATCACTTGATGATTAATGAACTTACATTTTAGGTTCTTCAATCAGTACTACCAATTGAGGATGATGAAGTTGTTCTTGGACAATATGATGGCTATAGGGATGATCCAACTGTTCCTGACCACTCAAACACTCCAACTTTTTCAACTGTGGTTCTGCGGATCCACAATGAAAGATGGGAAGGTATGGTAACTTTCACAATTCATTGGAACTAATTTCTGAACTTCCCATTTGGGAAGTAGTCTTGCATTGGAGATGCAGATTAATGATAATGGTCGTTATATGAATTTATATTATGCATTGAACTTACTCACCATCAACACTATTTTCTTCAGGTGTTCCTTTTATACTAAAGGCTGGGAAAGCATTAAATTCAAGAAAGGCAGAAATAAGAGTTCAATTTAAGGATGTGCCTGGTGACATATTCAAATGTAAGACAGAGCTTTATTATTCAATATGTTGTTGTTGGTAGTTTTTGCACTCCATATTTTGTTTTTGGTAGTGTTATAAATTCCTTATTTGGTTCACTATTACCTTATTGTTTAGGTAAGAAGCAAGGGAGAAATGAGTTTGTAATACGCTTGCAACCTTCAGAAGCCATGTACATGAAACTTACGGTAATGTGTTCACTGCTGAGTCCAATAACAATATTTTTTAGCTGATATCTCCAGATCTGATGTGCCAGATCTGATGTGCATGGTATCAGACAAAGCTTTCATATGGTGCTTGGTTTCTTGTTAAATTACTAATCAACTTTAGAGAAAGTTCTGAACAATAATCTGAATCCTGCTCAATAGTGTTGGAATACTTCAAAAGGTTCTGAAAATCCAAGTAATAGAAACCCAGGCTTTATTTGTCATGTTCATTAAGCAGAGAAAAGCTAGGAGATTCCTTTGTCTTCATCACATTCACTTACTAGCTCAATGTCTGTTATGCAGGTCAAGCAGCCTGGACTGGAGATGTCAACTGTCCAAAGTGAATTAGACTTGTCATATGGGCAACGATATCAAGGGGTAACAATCCCGGAGGCTTATGAGCGTCTAATTCTTGATACGTAGGTCCACTGCCTTTCTATTTCTAGAATCTTTCATATTATAGCCCATATGCTGCTTTTGTTTATAACTGTTGAAGTCCACTCAACTTGAAGGGCTGGTACATGTTAAAAGAGGGATTACATATCTAAACCATGTGAATAACAAATACATAGGATGCAAGGAAGTGACCCGTGCAACAATAATACATAAGATACAAACAACTGATTTTTAATATTTTATCTTCCCATTGATTATTCAAGCATGACAAAGGGAATTTGTTTTTTGTTTTTTCAGAATAAGAGGCGATCAGCAACATTTTGTACGCAGAGATGAGTTGAAGGTAACTACATTGTGCACTTATTTTCTTGGCACACTGCCATTTTCCCTTTTGACTGATTTATTGTGTTAATACGCATCAGGCGGCCTGGGAAATCTTCACGCCTCTTCTGCACAGAATTGACAATGGTGATTTAAAGCCGCTTCCATACAAACCAGGCAGTCGGGGTCCTGCAGAAGCCGATGCGCTGCTAGAAAAAGCCGGTTACGTACAAACACATGGCTACATCTGGATTCCTCCCACCTTGTAGAAGGCTTGCCTTTTTAAGTTTCAGCTTGGGCTTTCCCTTATCCAGTGTGTGCCATAAACCATAACGTGGTGTTGTTACATTGCAAGTTTTGTAAGTTATGCCTTAAGAATAAGTGCGCGATCGAAATGATGTGTGATTCCAAATAATTAAATGTTGTGTTTTCGATTCGTAAGCCATATGTCCCTGATGATGTGAATTGTGAAATTCCAGATGTCTGCAAATTCAAAATGCCCGGTTAAAGGTGAGATGAGGAGCTGTTGTTGCTTCATCCCACTTGGATGGAGCAGAGCACTTTGATCATTTGATTGTGACATAAATATAATTTATATGATAATCAATGGAAGATAGCTTAGCGGTTACTTTATGCTAAGTTAGATAAAATGCTTGAAGTTAACTGATTTTGGAGCCTCTGCGAATATAATATATTTTACAAAGGAGCATCCGTACTATAGTAGATAGAATGTCTATGTCACAACTTACAACTTACAATTAGCAATATGCTTATCCTTTTTAACCTTTCCTAATTGTGCGATTTAACCCTCCTTAATGATCGCGATTTAATCCTCCTTAATGATCCAACTCCAAATTGGATTTGGCAGGTCCTCCCTTATTGACCTCATTAACCATGGTAATGAGATTCCTTTCTTTCAAGTTTGAAACTTTCCTTTTAGTAAAGAGGAGAAAAAGAAGCTTTGTACGAGAGGAGAAAGTCTTGGGTGAGGTGGCAGCTATCTCACGGTGGGATGGGGACTTTCACGCGAGAGAGATCCCTATCCTTATCCAAAGAGAGAATTTTTATGTTATGAGGATGACATTGTTTTACTATCGTCAACTAATCATATTCTATCAAGTGTGATAATTTATTCACATAATGAAATATAATTAGTTAGAGATAACAAAATAATATTATCCTTGTTATATTCAAGTTCTTCTCCAATCCAAGACTTCTTTCACAAATGGCTATGTTGAACATTTTCTCGTGAAAGAGTGTTTTTGTCGTATTGGAGTTATTGTTGTGGTTTTCTTTGAATAAGAGGAAAACATAAATTACAAAATTCCTAGTCGTGGTAGTGCTTTAATTAATGAAGGGAAATCCAACAAAATCATCGAGTTTAATTAAGGAAATAAAATTTTATTTTGTGGAGTGGTAAATAAGTCAAAGCCTTAGTTTAAAAACAAAAATTCAAAATCAAAAGGCTCAAGGGGTGAGAGAGAAAGCAAGGAAGCAAGGAATCTGAAATTGTCTCCGCGTAAAGAGGAGAAGACAAGAGGGAGTCGTTGTTGGTGTTGGTAAAGAAAGAGGTTAAAGGACCAGGAATATCCATCCAGGAAGACGTTACCCGCCACCAGTCTCTCCCTCTCTGTCCACGCGTCCTTTTCCCAACCTTCCCTGCTCTCACTCTCTGTGCGCCCTTAATTTTGGCACGCACGCTCTGTTTTCTCACCTTCCAATTTCTGTTTCCTCCCTCCCCTTTTCTTCTCCTCTTTGGTTTTCTTTTCCTCCTCTATCTCTCTCTCTCTCTGCATTGCGTTGGTTCGTTGGTTGGTCGGTTACTTGGATGGTTGCGTCAAATTAACCTCTGCTTTTCTCTGCAGCATCAGATTCGGTAATTTCAAGCTTCTCTTTTTTATTCTCCAAATCCGTTTCAATCTTTTTGTTTATCTTATTTTCCTTTCCTCGTCTCTTTCGCTTAACCTACCCACATAATAAATCTATTTCGATTAGGGTTTCTCTAACACCAATCTTTCCTTATCCTGAAAACAGCGTTGCTTTGAATTTAGCTTGTTTGGTACTTTTACCAAATTATGAACTTTTTTCTTTTTCTTTGAGAATCAACCTATTAGAAAGTTGGGTTCTTTTTCTTCCCTTCAATACAGGAACCTCTTGTAGAATTTCAGGTGCCTTTTGTTTTCTTTATAATTTTTTGCCTCCTGGAATGGAATGTTTTCCTTGTATTCTTGACTTGCTTTTATATTTCAATCTTTCCTAGTCGGCTCTCTTGATTTCTCGTCTGCCAGAAAATCGAGGTTTCTTGGTACCATCAAGCTCGCGTTCTATTTCTATCTCTTAGCTCCAAACGATGGCTTTGAATCTCTCTCGTGGCTCAATCTTGCCTACGTATCCTTCTTCTGTTTGGTACTCTAATGGGTATGTGATGGATCAATACAAAGAAAATAATTTGGATGGTGTTTGTGATGATTCGTCAAGTTCTTGGGGTTTCAATTTGGATTTGAAGAATACCCATTGGGGGACTGAATTGGGTGGCTATTGTGACCATTCTGCTGATGATATTGTGGATCGGTTGCCTGTTGATCCTTTTGGAATGGGGATAAGGTCTACTTTTACTGCTATCACGGGTTGGCTTCAAGGTTTTGAAAAGGAACACGAATCTTATGGCTCTGGGTTGCATGAAGCAATTGATGGTGGATTATTGGCAGGTTTCAATTGGGCTTGGAATAGTGCTGTGATGTTTCAGCCGGAAGTTTGTGACCTGAGATTTGATGGAATATCAATTCCATATGATAGCTTTGATGGGTATGGGATCAATGATGGAGGTTTTGTGTTGGATGGCAATGTGGAGGAGTTTCTGAGTTTTAGCGATGTGGGGAACTTGGATTTTTGTGATGGAGCTAAGGAACTGCAAGTTGAAACTGAGGAAATACAAGGTTGTAGCATTATGCATCCTAAAAGTGAGGGGAGTGCTCCACATGATGCTATGTTCTATGCATTGAGTTTTCTTGGTGTTAAGGACCTTCTTTCAGTTGAAAAGGTTTGTAGGTCTTTTCGTGATTCAGTTAGAAGTGACCCTCTTATATGGAGGAGTATTGTCATTGATTGGCCGTTGAATGAGATCATCACTGATGATGTTCTTATAAAGTTAACTGACAGGGCTCAAGGCACTCTTCAAGCCTTGACTCTAGTGCATTGTGTCCATATCACTGACTCTGGGCTGCAGCGTGTGTTTGACAGCAACCCAAAGCTGACAAAGGTGAGTATTTGAAACTTTGTATTTTCTATATTCCTGAACCGAACACGTCTGTTTCCTGTTTATGATTTTGTATATCAGTGTATCTCTCCAATTTTCAGTGACAATAATTTTTGAAAGAGATATTCTTATGCGGCTTTCTCTTAGAATATAATGTTCTGAAGTTACGTTTGACCCCTGAGGCTACTTTCATATAGGGGCTTTTTTCCATAAGCCACAAATAACTACAATTTCATATATGTTTTCTATGAAAAACATTTCGTGTGCCTCCTATTGAAAGTAAAAGCGAAAATCTCGTTCGCCATCAGTTATCAAACATGGGGCTATAAATCTTGGTGAAGTTATTGTATCTTGCTGTTCTTACACATGCCTGTTGAGATGAACTCGTGTCGTTTATAGCAAGTAGGTTGAAGACTATCATTCCTGTCGTGTTTTTTTTATAAAAAAAATTGGGGAACACCTTTGGTTATATGCCAATGTGTGTTGTCATGTCTAATACAATGTCAAGAACAATGGAGTGAATAAGTTTTTGATTGATTTTTTTAAATCTCCTTTGTATTAATATCAATAAATTTGACAATTGATGCAGCTCTTGATGCTGAACATGTATTCAGTGTTTCGTTGTAGATTTTGCTTATTGATTAGTTAACTGATATTGAAAGTCAGCGTAGTCTTTATCGTGTAAACTGGTAGTGCTCTTTAAGGGTATTTTGCCTCTTCGTATCATCAAGCTAAATGTGTGAAGTTTATAGGTATTCATTATACCTTGCTTTCTATGTAGTTTAAGTTCTTTCTAATATGAATGTGCACCTTTTTCCCTGTGCAGTTAGGTGTTCCAGGATGTCTTAAAATAAGTGTTGAGGACATCTTGTCAAACTTATGGACCTTGAAGTCAGCAGGCAAACCTGGAATAAAGCAGTTAAGAATTGGTGGTCTCTCTGGTATAACAGAGATGCAGTTTGAAGAGTTGAAATTATTGCTTGGTGCAGATAACCGCGTTCAGTTTAGAGCACCAAAACCTAGGTTTTTTCATGGTGGGCTGTCACATCTTTCTTGTGATGATGATTGTGCCATCGACATTGAAGCGTGCCCCAGGTGCCAGAAACTAAGTTTAGTTTATGATTGCCCAGCAAAGAGTTGCCAAGGGAAACATCGTGCTGATCAGATGTGCAGGGCTTGCATGCTTTGCATAGCTCGCTGTATTAGTTGTGGGTGCTGCCTTCAAGACACTGATTATGAGGAGACATTTTGTCTAGACTTGCTTTGTGTGGTTTGTATGAAGAAAATACTCAAATGTAGGCATGGAGAAAAGGGTGCTCCCAAGTGTGCCTTTTTTTGTCGGGAGAACAGGTATCAATTTTGCCTTATTGGCTAATGGAAAGACATTGCATATTCGTTTGCTGTTGGTTGTGGATTAGAATCTACAAGGGTGGTTGGCTGTTCAGAAATGGGCACAAGCTATTTAATGCATGCTTGGTTGCTACAGTAAGGAGTTGTATTACCATGAGGAACTTGCAGCTTGTGAAGCTGGAGATAATCTCCGGAGGAAGGAAAAGGAAAATGAAAAAAAAAAAAAAAGGAAAAAAGGAAAAGAAAAAAAAAACAGAAAAAAAGGAGGGAAGAATAGAGAGATGAGAGGAGGTTACAACAGAAAGGTTGATTGAAATAGGGAAAAGTAAAAAAGAAAGGAGAGGGAAAATATATCAGAGGTTGAGAAGTTTGGCTTGAACATGTTTAGTTAGCTCATGCCAAAGTGGTTCCTGTCCTGGAGGGAGACTTACCAACCCCAAGGACCAAAGGGCAATGAAGAAAATTTAGTGGGGGAAGTGGAGCAGTTGATTGTTAATGGAAGTGGGGAAATCATCATCAAAGTCGAGTTAAGTATTTTTGGGTGCAGAAGAAGAGCAGCAGCCATTTATGGGGGTGAAGCAGAAAGTTATGGGAGAGCTGTTGGAGCACTGATCTGTTTGTTATATTATATACCAAGTTTGTGGAATCTTGTTTTTAAGCAAAATAGTAAATAAATAAGTTGTATTCCATTTAAAAAATATAAACCAATTTTGTTTTTTTTCAGTGTTGCTATCTATTGTTTTTTTTCTTTTTTTTCTTTCCTTGCATCTATATATATGTCAGCAACAAGTGTTTGCCAAGGAGCAAACCGAACAATACCGTCGGTCCATAAAAAAGTCCAACTCTTCCAAATCAACAGTTGATATCGTACTATATCAACAGTTGAGTTTGGTTTGGTTTAGTTAAATTTTTTAGTTATTAATTTATTCAATTAGATATCTTTTATCTAAAAGAAACCCATTACCAACCAATCCTTAATATTAATTTCTTATTTAAGTATAAGTATAAATATATGTTTCAACATGGAGCGGTTGGATAAAGATTAAAGAGGCATTGTGGGCTGCATAATACTGATAAACCCTACCTACCTACCTAGCCCATTCCATGACTGTCGACCCAGCCCATACCTCTTCACGTCTGTCTCCCTCTGACCAGCGTCCTGTCCTCCTCTTCAGTCCGACGCCAACTTCTTAATCTTCTCCTTCTTCGCTTTTTGCTTTCGTCTTCCTTTTTTCTCCTTCATCCTTTGATTTTTCTTCGTCTTCCTTTTTCCTTTCTTTTTTCTTCTGCCTCGTCACATTTACAGGAAAGCCAAGCCAAGACTTGAGAGGAAAAGTTAAAACTCCTAATCGTCATGGAGAACGGTGAAATTCCCGAAAACGCCAATGAACGTAAGGCTTTCTTCATAATCTCAGTTCTCAAAGTTGCTGGGTTTTTTTCAGTTAGGCTGTCTTAATTTCTTCTTCATCTCTTGGAATTATTATTATTATTATTTTTTTATTTTTAAACTGTACCTTTTGCTCAGATTGCCCGGGTCCTCAATCCGATTCTGCTGGAAAATCTGATGCGTGCGAAGGATGCCCGAATCAACAAATTTGTGCTACTGCTCCAAAGGGCCCTGACCCAGGTTTCCTTTCTCTCTTTTACTGCTAAAGCTGCAAACTTTGAATTGTTTTTTGGTTAATTTTGGCCGGTGATATTTGTAAATTCTTTATTTTGGGCTGCTCTGAGTGATTCAACTATGACTAGCATTTAGATGAACAAGCCAAAGTAGATGCTTTTATGTGAACTTCATGAAGTTGGTGATTCTGATCAATTATGAATAAGTTGGCCCTAGTTATGTTGCCACACCACATCTGAATAATAACATAGTTTTTTCATTTGACCGCAGTTAATATCTGGCATTTCGTTGGAGCTATGAATTAAAACACTTTATATGTATCAAAATAATCTCAGGTTTGTTTCTTCTTATATTTTATGTGCTGCCTCCGAAATCCAAACTTAATTTTATAATTATGTGGCTTATACCTTGTTATATCTTTGATGGTGTTGTTGTGGGAAGGGAGATAATCTACAAAATCAAAAAAGAAAAAAAAAAATAGAGACTACAAGGCGTTACAACTTACATTTATCAGTAGCTAAGCTGTGTTTCAAAGTTTCATTAGGTATTGTTACAAGGCATCCAAGCATACAATTTCAGTAACCCCTCTGTGATTTTCTTCATTTGTGCAACTGCGCAAGTTTTAATTCCATGTAGGAATTCTTTTTGCTCCATGCAAAACTATCTTATATGACTTAAGGATGATGTGCTTTTGTATTCATGATTTGTATATTGTTTTTGTACAGACGTGGTTGCAATTGCAGAAAGGATGGCCGCTGTAAAGCATAAGATACTGGTTTTATCAGGAAAAGGTGGAGTTGGCAAGAGCACATTCTCCGCCCAACTTGCATTTGCACTAGCAGCTATGGACTTTCAGGTGGGTCTTCTTGACATTGACATTTGTGGCCCGAGCATCCCAAAGATGCTTGGCCTAGAAGGCCAAGAAATCCACCAGAGCAACCTTGGCTGGTCTCCTGTATATATTGAATCCAACCTTGGGGTCATGTCAATTGGATTCATGCTTCCAGAACCTGATGACGCTGTTATATGGAGGGGGCCACGCAAAAATGCGCTCATTAAGCAATTCTTGAAGGATGTTTATTGGGGTGAGCTTGATTTTCTAGTAGTTGATGCTCCTCCTGGGACCTCAGATGAGCACATTGCAATTGTTCAATACCTCGATGCTGGTTCAATAGACGGTGCAATCATAGTCACCACTCCACAACAGGTCTCCCTGATTGATGTTCGGAAAGAAGTAAGTTTCTGCAAGAAAGTTGGAGTTCAGGTCCTAGGGATTGTTGAGAATATGAGTGGCTTGTGCCAGCCAGTGATGGATTTCAAATTTTTGAGGATGACAGAGGCCGGTGAGCAAATAGACGTCACAGAATGGGCAAGGGAGCATCTGAAAGAGAGAGCGCCGGAATTTCTAAGCATAATCGCTTGCACTGAAGTGTTTGATAGTAGCCGTGGTGGAGCTGAAAGAATGTGCAGGGAAATGGGGGTACCTTTTCTGGGGAAGGTACCATTGGACCCCCAGCTTTGCAAGGCAGCTGAAGAAGGCAGATCTTGTTTTGTTGATCAGAAGTGTGCGGTGAGTGCACCTGCACTGAAGAAAATCATAGATAAAATGATGGAAAATCAGGGATTATCTAGAATGTCGGTAGACAACAATGCATAAGTGATGGTTTTCAGATCAAGATTTTGTTCATTTTTTACCTCAACACTTTAATGGTTGTGTGGAATATATGTTTTTTGGCATGTGAATTGTCTTTATGTTATATGTAATTTGCATAAAAATTATATTTGTGTTCTTTTTAATTTATTTTGTGTAATAACACAATTTTCTTGACCATGAATACTCGTAAAAGTATTGATGTTTGACTAACATTCTAATTCTCGACAAGAAAAAGACAAAAAAAAACTTCATTGACGTAGATTAGGCCAATTGACTAAGGCAACGTCACACTAGAGTTTATACGAGAGTTCAAATCTCCTCCCGGAAAAAATAAAAAATAAAAATAATGCTTGCGAAAGTTGGGCGGCTAAGATCATCTGCTGATAAAAAAGAACATACGCGTCCAAAGGAAACACACGAGCGCTTCCCATTTGCACAGGCCCTCTTTTGTCTTTTCCTCTTCTTCTCTTTAGGCTCTGCAATTATCAGCTACACCCAGATGCCAATCCACTTTGCTACAACCTTCACACTTTGCCTAGACATGTACCTCTCGGAGAAGGCCCGACCGGTTGACTTGTACAAGGGAGGAGGACTAGGAGGAGAAGAAGAATCGGAGAGAGAGATGATGATGGAGGTGGTGGTGGCGAATGGGAGCGCGCCACCTCATCATCATCATCAGAACCAAAGCGAAAGCCAGCACCAGCAGCAGATGCATCAGATGATCGTGGGGATTGGGGAGAACAACAGCAGCGGAGGAGAAGGTGAAGAGCAAGAATTGTGTGCTGCTACTAGTAATAGTATTGGCAGCAGAGCAGCAGGAGGAGGAGGAGGAGGACCAGGAGCCCCAAAGAAACGGGCCGAAACGTGGGTCCAAGAAGAAACGCGAAGCCTGATAGGGTTTAGGAGAGAGGTGGACGGGCTTTTCAACACGTCCAAGTCCAACAGGCACCTCTGGGACCAGATCTCAGCCAAGATGAGAGAAAAGGGCTTCGACCGCTCCCCCACCATGTGTACGGACAAGTGGAGGAACTTGCTCAAGGAGTTCAAGAAGGCTCGTCACCAAGTCAAAGTCGGCAGTCGCTCGGCCAAGATGTCGTATTACGAGGACCTCCAGGACTTGCTCAGAGATAGAACCAACAACAACCACAACGCTGCTTCTACTGATGCTGCTGCTGCTTCCGCCGCTGCTTACAAGAGCCCCACTCCTCCCAAGCTCGAATCTTTTGTTCGCTTCTGTGACAAGGGTGAGAATTTATGAGAGCTGAGACTGACTGAAACTTACCCTATTCAACATTTCAAATTTTTACTATTATTATGCTTACCCTTTTTCTAAATTTGTTTATTTACTCTATAAATTGAAAAAAGTACAGGTCTTGAAGATTCAGGCATTCCATTTGGACCTATGGAAGGTATACATTCCTTTGCTTGCATGTCTTGTCTTTCAATTTGCAATTTGATTGTAATTTGTTATAAAAGAAAAATTAAAAAAAGCTTCTTAATTTCTCTTTGTTTATAGCTACTGACCGATCAGCACTCAATTTGGAAAGGCAGTTGGATCATGATGGCGACCCTCTTGCTATTACTGCAGCCGATACAGTTGCAGTTAGTGGAGTTCCTCCTTGGAATTGGAGAGAGGGTCCTGGAAATGGTGAGCTTTCTTTCACAACTAGAATGGCAGTGCAAAAAGTTCTCCCTTTCAATTTAAAAGAATATTGGTAATTCTTGTTGAAACAATACTTCAATTGGCTGTGGAAATGTGTCTAGACCTGTAACCTTTCATCTAAATTAAACAGCTTTCCTCAAGAAAAGTAATTTTCATGACCTAACAATCACACTACATTGCTTAGCTTTGGTGCCTTTCTAGCATATGCTGCATTCTGAGTTTAGTTGAGGAAGATTTTTGTCCTGTCCTCTTTAGAAGAGCTTCAATCTCTCTCTGTCTCACTATCAATCGCTTGCATGACACTTCCACTGTAAGCTTTACCTTGCCTTTTAACCGCACACCTCCTTTGTTGAGGCTTGGAATCATGTGTGGATAAAACCAAGAGTCTAAGCATGACCCGAGACTGATATATGCATCTTGTAAAAGTTTCAAAGTTAAATGCCTGAAGCATGTTATCTTTCAATGGCAGGAGGGGAGGGCCACTCTTCTTATTGTGGAAAGATTATAACTGTCAAGTTGGGGGAATACACCAGAAGGATTGGTATTGATGGAACTGCTGATGCGATTAAGGAGGCAATCAAGTCTGCGTTCAGAATAAGAACTAAGCGGGCATTTTGGTTGGAGGATGAAGATCAGGTTGTCCGGAGTCTCGATAGGGACATGCCTTTGGGCAATTACACTCTTCACCTCGATGAAGGTATTGCATTCCTGGAGTAATAAGCAAAAGTTTTTCTATATTATATGGAACTGGAAGGTGGTTTGCTGGATTATAATAAGTAGCCTTATTCTTCTTGTGGCAGGAATTACCATAAAGCTTTGCCTCTATGATGACTCTGACCGTATAGTTCGTACGGAAGAAATAACATTGTACACTGAAGATGATTTTCGTGATTTTCTTGCACGGCGTGGCTTGATGGGTTTACGAGAGTTGAGTGGCTATAGACGCATTGATACTTTAGATGAGCTACAATCCGGTGCAATGTACCAGGGGGTGAGACTTCTTGGGGACTAAAAAAATTGTGTTTAGCTTTTCATCCAGCTCCTAAAGGTGGAAATTTCTTCTTTCTTTTCTTTTTTTCTTTTGCCCAGCTAGTCATTCACCGCTCTATGGCTGGTGGTGTTAATCCATGTTGTAAGTGCCAAGTGCCAGCCAATTGAATTAACACTGTAAAGATGTAACTTGTACATGTAAAGGGATGTTTCCAGTTTTGTACCTGCTATGTAATCTGATTTCTAATCCAAATTTCAAAAGCTATGAATACTTACAAGGAAATATTTCTTCAATTGTGTGCCGGTGGTACATACTATTTAAAAGAAAAAGAAAATTGCTTCTTTCTATAACGCTCGAAAGGACCCAAAACTTATTAATTCATTTCTCACCTTACGGTTTGCAAATCTGTGAGTGAAACAACTTTTTACCAATTCTGCTCCGGTTGGTCATTTTTCTCGAAAAGAAGGGCAACGAGGCCACCTCAATAGTCAACAACACCGTCCAAATCATCACTGGTTTCCAGCTTCGACAAATGCGCGGACACTAGTTCTTTTTTCTTATGGGGATTTCAGGTCGTAACTCCACCTCACATGCATATAATTATATAAATAGCACTCACACTCTCACACTCTCCCTTGTTCACAATCACAAGCCCTCTCTCTCTCTCTCTCTCTCTCTCTCTCTCTCTCTGGGTTTAAAAGAAGAAGAAAACACTCCACTAAACATCATGGCCAAGATCAAGATTGGCATCAATGGTATTCTTGCATTTATTGTGGTTTGTTTACTTTACTGTTTATTTATATGATCACCAACGCACAGATTGGCATTTTCCAAATGGTCTTGATTTGGTGTTATGTGGGTGAAGGATTCGGAAGGATTGGCCGCTTGGTTGCCAGAGTTGCTCTGCAGAGAGACGACGTTGAACTTGTCGCTGTCAACGACCCTTTCATCAACATTGAATACATGGTAATGTATATCTTTTATGTTGTTCATTCTGCATCCTGTATGCATGGTGATGGTTTGCGCCTATGAGATTGTGTTAATTGTAAATATCTCTGCAGAGCTACATGTTCAAGTACGACAGTGTTCACGGGCAATGGAAGCACCACGAGCTTAAGGCTAAGGATGATAAGACCCTTCTCTTTGGTGACAAGCCTGTCAGAGTTTTTGCTTCTAGGTAATATGCTTATATACTTCATTATTACCTGGTTCTACCAACACCAACACCCTTTCTTGTGTGTAATTAATCAATTAGTTAGTCAGACCTAAACTAGCTAGACTGAAATTCCAATTGGATTGTCCATTCATTTCGACTAGGGAGCCCGAAGGGATTCCGTGGGGCGAGGCTGGTGCTGAATTTGTGGTTGAGTCCACCGGAGTGTTCACTGATAAGGAGAAAGCTTCTCTCCACTTAAAGGGTGGTGTAAAGAAGGTTGTGATTTCTGCCCCCAGTAAGGATGCTCCCATGTTTGTTGTGGGTGTCAATGAGAAGGACTACACCCCAGATCTTAACATTGTTTCCAATGCCAGCTGCACCACCAACTGTCTTGCTCCATTGGCAAAGGTAGTTAGTTTCAATTATTGGTCTTATTTTCTTCTAATGACTAATTAATTAATTTGGAGAGCTCTCTCATGTTTCTTGAATTAATATATATATATATATACATCTGGACAGGTTGTTCATGACAAATTTGGTATTGTGGAGGGTCTTATGACTACCGTCCATTCTATTACTGGTGCGTGTATATGCGTATATATGTATATTCGAATGTATGTATGGTCCATTGTCATTGACTGGTGTTTCAATGTAATGCAGCCACTCAAAAGACTGTTGATGGACCATCAATGAAAGACTGGAGAGGTGGTAGAGCTGCAGCCACCAACATCATTCCCAGCAGTACTGGAGCTGCCAAGGTATTATTGATTGAATGCCTTGCAATGCATCTATATATGATCACAGTTCATACGCATGATATATATGATACTTGAAGGCTTTGTTGCTTAACCATGATATATGCATTTGTTAAGGTGTTTGATATATTTTGGAAATACTGAAAGAAGAAATAAGTGTTGTTTTTTGTAGGCTGTTGGTAAAGTGCTGCCTGCACTGAATGGGAAGTTGACAGGAATGGCGTTCCGTGTTCCCACTGTTGATGTTTCGGTGGGGAAATACTGAAAGAAGAAATAAGTGTTGTTTTTTGTAAGCTGTTGGTAAAGTGCTGCCTGCACTGAATGGGAAGTTGACAGGAATGGCGTTCCGTGTTCCCACTGTTGATGTTTCGGTGGTTGATCTCACCGTGAGACTTGAGAAGAAGGCCACTTATGATGAGATTAAAGATGCCATCAAGTAAGGACCAGAAACATTCATTCCCTATGATTTCAAACTGCTCATCTAAATTTCCTTTTCTTTTTGTTGTTGTTGTTGTTGTTGTTGTTGTATATTATTGCTGGAAAGAATCTGAGGGCAGCCTGAAGGGAATCCTTGGATACACGGACGAGGATGTTGTGTCGACTGACTTTGTGGGTGACAACAGGTGACCATTTTGACTCACCTTCTTTTGCTCTGTCTCTGTCCCCGTCTCACTCTTTAAGAATATGTTGTGGTTATGTGCCTGCCTGGACTGCGTGTGTATATGTATATATATGTTGCAGGTCGAGCATTTTCGATGCCAAGGCTGGAATTTCTTTGAATGACAACTTTGTGAAGCTTGTGTCTTGGTATGACAACGAATGGGGTTACAGGTAGATCCACAATTTCTTTATTTACTTGTTTGTTTTTATTATGGTGCTCCGTTTTATTTTACATAATTGTGGCGGAAAGAACAGAAATGTCTGTTTATATTGCTTTGTCATACTCCAAATTTTATTTGTATTCTGAAAGCAAGATTTTCCATCCACACTTCTCTTATTAACGACGTGACGTGACGTTTGTTGCAGCTCACGAGTTATTGACTTGATCTGTCACATTGCCTCTGTTAAATAAGCGATCCTAGGATCATGAATCATGATGTGGACTGTGGAGTCAGAGCTTCAATTTCTCGGGCACATCAGGCAGCTAATTTATTTATTTATTTATTTTCAAATTATTAATTTATGAACATCACGCAGCTAGTTTGTGATTAGTACGGTTTAAAGGGTTTTCTTTTTCTTTTTCCTTTTTTGGGGAATAATCAAGCTTTACCAGTGATATGAGTTTTGTAGTACTTTGGTTCCGGAGTGTGATAGAAGCTTTGGTTAGATTTGGATCATTGCTTTGATTGTATGGGATTGTTCATGAGGGATCAGATCAGTAATGGCATTGGCATGAATCTAATTCTAACTTGATATGCCTCTTTACAATAAAATAAAAAATAACATCTTTTTGTTTTTTTGGGGAAGAGAAATCAAAAGAGACAATCCTTCTGTCTCTCCTTGCTTTCGATCCGGAGAGTATATTCCAAACCCAAAGGACTTGATTTAAAAAATACAGGAAATTAGCTCCCAAATAAAATAGGTAGATGATTATGTCAATCTCCTCTCTTAGCCTTATTGCCTTGGGAACATTCACGAATACAAAAGCAAAAGAATGGAAGATTCAGTAAACACAACAGGCCCAGCAACATATTAACACAAGTGCTCAAATTTATACTCAAGTACTAACATGCGGTGAATTTAGTCAGAATGCATTTATAAACGCAACAACCAGAGCACTTTCCTAAAACCATAGCCTTCATTCTTAACAAGTTTCAGATAACCTATGTTCCAAGAAAAAACCAAAAACTCTAGAAATAAACCACTCTGAACTTCAGTGTATTCACGATCCGGTCTTCTTGTTATGCCACATCTTGGAACCCTGCAAATTGAACATGTAAAAGTTACAATTTACAATTGCTTATCAAATCTTCAGAGGCTTTCATGATATAATTGCAATTCTGAAAAGATAGGACCAAGTTCAGTGACTGAGAAGAGGTATTCGGATACGGACTCCAAATGAACATCCACATCCACCATCTTTCCACACACACACAAAATTGAAATACTACAAAAGCATTGAAAGAATTCCAAATCGATTTGATTATTGCATCATGATACATTAAGAGGTGGAAAGATGCGTGAGTGAACCTAATTCATACTTCTCCTGCCTTTTGTTCAGAACCCAAGTTAAAAGAGCACGCTGTTAGCTATGCTATATATTAAATCACTCTTAGCTTTCCGATTTCTTCAATATGTCCCTCATCCATCTTAAACTTAGGTTGACTAGATACTAGATGCAAGAGAAGTGTACCTAAAACCAAAAACAAATTGGCAATGTGAAGCTGAACTACCAGTCACACAAAGGAATCAACACTTGTTCCATCGAAATTTGTTAAAAGAAACCTCGCTGAATTCCTTAATTGTTACTAGCAAGTAGGTCACGTTCCTTATAATCTCTCATATATATCGTGCACTGCTAGGTTTGACAGAGAGAAAAGGAAGAGGCCAAAGGTATCAGCAACCAATCTAATTTATCATAGAAAATCTTAGGACCGAAGAATGTACTATAGAAAAAAGAACCATACTAACTGCAAATCACATTCATGCAAATCACATTCATGCACATCAGAGTTATGAAATTCCAGGTCTAAATTTAAGAAAGTTTGAACAAGTTTTTTCTACGACAAGCTCTTCAGCAATGTCATAACGATACATGAACAAGGGGTAAACAACAAATTCAAGTACATTAAAGAAATGTAAAAGGTCCAGATAAAAAAAATGTAAGAACTCCAGATTTAAACAACTGTAAACGGTCACAGTTTATGAAAGTTGGCATGCAACTTTTAAATGGAGTGGTGCCGAGGACCTACATTGTAATAAAACAAAAAACGTACAGTATTTATCTTGTCACAACAATGGTAAGAAGCATAACACTATGCAGCTTCCCCCTCTGTGGCTAACACGCTATCATTCAAGCAGTATCACAACTCAATTTTTCAGACTCCCTTGAAGTTCAAAACAAAAGGCAATCAAAAAAACTATTCCGAAGTTTAGAATAATGATAAACCTGAGTAGCTTGAGCTTGTAACCTTGCACACTTGATGAGCTACCTCGCTTAGTGCAAAAAACCTGAACTCTTACAAAGCTAATGAGCACTATTTTTTCTAATAGTTATTATGTTTAATCACTTCGCAAACAGGGGATTGTCTTGTTTGTCTAGATTGGTTTAATTGTCAGTTGTAAATACATACATACATTAACATATGATCCCAGTAATACCAATCAATTACCAAATAAATATAACTCA